GGGGGGGGGGGGAGGAGGAAGAGGAAGGTGAAAGGGAGTGCTGAAGAGAGTCCCTCCCACCGTGGAACTATGCAAAAGAGTTATAACACTGCTACTTAGAGTTACTTTAGTTTTATTTGTGAACAGACCTGGACATTTGCAGCACTGGTGCCTATGCGGCTGGGAGGGGGGAGCGGGTGGGGAAAAAAAAATCCTTCCTTCCCCCTCCCTCTGGATAAGTCCATGCATGGCATTGCGGGCGAGTTAGTTGTGGAGGATAATCTTCGGATGCGAATATGTGCGGTAAATCAAAGAGCAATGCAGTTCGTTACGTCTTTCCCCCTGGTCTGTTCCTGAGCGGATTGCGTAATGAAAATTCTTAATCACAGGATCTGCTGAATGTAAAACACTATTTTGTTCCTGCTACCTAGTAACATTTGGGAAGCGCATGGACACATTCACGTGCTCGGCCCACGTGCTAATCAAGCTAGCCCTCGGCCGCCAAAAAAAAGGAATCTTTCATGATCTTCCAAAATTATGTCAAAAAAATATTATCTTTTTGCTAAAAAGACGTTGAAAAGTAACCACAAAGAATAAAAAAACTGCGCCGGCAATTGCTGTGGACATCCCTTTGCACGAATATTATTGGAATGCTACCATACGGTGGTCGCAGTTATGCCAGGCACCTGGATTTTAAGTTGCATACATCCAATTTCACTTTTTGCCTCTTAAATATATGTGCAACAATTCGGAGGCTGGTCGCGCGGTCGCTTTCTCTAGCTGGCCCCATTCATCGGTGCACGATGTCCATTGACTGTCGACAAGGTGAGCAACAAGTGTTGCTTTTTTGCGTGGTTGCAGTGACATTCTGCACGCCCTGATCTGACGGAAAGTCTGATTGTTTCTATGGTTACCAGGAGATACGTCAGAGGCGTCGTCGCTCTCTCCGTCACAGCCATCGCTGACTTTTCAGCTCTCGTCAGTGACCATGTTTCGCATCCGTGCGTCATTGCCTTCAACACAGTGCTGTTCGGGGCTTTCCAGCTTTTCTGGTTGCCGAGTGTGCAATTCTCCCGCCAAATCTTTCACATGCTCGTGCGTAAGGACCACGCATACCTGGGGGCTGGATTTGAAATATTTAGGTTATACTCGGACCGGTGATGTTCCCACAAAATTTTAGCTTTCTAGCTTTCCTGGTTAGCAATTTTCCCGCCAGAACTTTCATACGCCGTTAAGTGAGTATCACGCAAATTTGCCAAAGAAATGAGCATACTGAAAGTGAAAGGAGTGCAGGAATCAAATAATTTTAGTTTCCTGGATATCAGTGAGTGACCGGTGCCCATCACCCCGGACTCATACATGAAACTGCGCATTGTTATGTGAGCTTAGCAAAACTGTTGCGACTGCTTCTGCTGGTCAGTTGCAATTGCATAATGGGGCCGGGCCATGCTCGTGTGGGTGGTCGACACCTTCTCTCGTCGCCTTTCATCCACTCTGAGGCATTCTGTGCCGGAGGGTTTCAATTTCTCTGTGTTTTTGTTCTGTGGTTGGGTCGTATGACCTCTCTGCCGCGGAGGGAGAGGAGTGGTGGACATGTTGTGACCGATGGTCAGCAAACTTTGCCTATCCAGCACTGCTCACTGTGCTTATGGTGGTCAGCAAGATGTGCACACCCAGGAGAGCTTGCAGTTCGATTGTCCGCTAAATGCGTTGAAAAACTACAGTTCTGGGCTTACAGCACTGCAAAATGTTAGGCCTCCAGGGCAAATATCCGGGATTTCGTACGGTAAAACAAAGCTCCAAGCATTGTTGCTTTTCGTGGGTTTTTCCCTAAAACGGCCCTTGCTTAATCAAGGAATGCGCGAATACTTGGCGCCACTGCTAATCTGTGGTACCTGGTTCTCCAGTTCTGACTGTTGTAGCGTTCGCCTCGTCGTCTGGAGCAGTTAGCAGCTCAGGGATTCTCCGGCATCATTTAACAAGGCTTTACTCGTCTTGAGATGCGCTTGGTGTATGTATTTGTCCGTATGTATGTGTATATGTGTGTATGTGTCTGTATGTGTATGCGTGTGTAGGTGTGCATATGCACCTGTGTATATGTATGTGTGTGTACGTGTGTATATGTATGTATATATATGTGTGTGTATGTGTATGCATCTGTGTGTATGTGTGTGTGTGTATCACCATCTTTTTTCCCATCATGCCACTTCTTGGCCACCATCAGGTGCCTTTTCGAGATACGATAACGTTTCTTGCAGCTGGAAGTAGGCAGATGTAAATAATGTCTACCATTTGATTGTTGTTTTTTGATTTCTAATATCTCTGTTCCCGTTTGAACCTAAGTTGCGCAAACAAAAAATTACCGTCAAAAGTCCAAACCTCTCTCTCACTATGCTGGGAGCATTGCATAGTGGGAAAGTAGCACACTGTTGTCATCGAGAACGTAGATTTAATTCCACCATAAGCCATTTATTGCCTCTGCGAGTCGTTCATTCGTTTCGATGGTAAATTTGGTACGAGCATACGCCAGGGAGGCAAATTCGCCATCAGCTTGCTTTATAAACATTGCACCAAAAAAAAGAGGCATCGGCAGTCTTGTCAACAGTGGTTACCTGTAACACTTACTATCACCCTGGCTGTTTTCGATTTCGTTGCTTTTCATAAAAGGCGAATCCTTATTCCTTGACAAGAGGCCTATGTGAGGGGAGAAGGGGGATGCTGGGAAGCACCCCGTGTGATTGGAATGGTTGTAAATTCACACGTTGGTAAGTCGTTGTTAGTTCCTTCTTTTGAGGATTGCTTAGAAGCAAGCTGATGGCTGTTTTGACTCTCTCTCTCTCTGTCTCACCCGTCGCAACCACGAAATGCAATGATAAAGCGGAGGGGGAGGGGGGTTGACGTTTGCGACACAGTATAGCAAATGTTTGGGTTTTTTTAAGCATGGAATATCTGCCTTTCCCGGATATACCGTTCTTAAAAGCTTGCTGGAAGTACGCAGATGCCTACCTATGCTATTACTACGCTCACATACAAACGGCTGCCGCCACCTTGTTCTGGATCCATTTTTATTGATGTTGCCGAAATAGTTGCTTATTGCTCGGTGATCAGCGCTGTGTTCAGTTTTCAGGAACCGTGAGGTGCATAAAATGTTCTAACGATGGAAATAGGTACCAATGAGCTCACACGGCCGTTTCGAATACCGCGACGAAAGGCGAACGAGGACAAAGCTGTGGACGGCTTGTCGGAGAAGGTATCACATTGCATTCTCGCAACAGAAACTAGCTTTATCACCGAATTTTTGCTTCCGATAATAGTACATCCGTACCACTTAGCTCTTCTAGCGGTAAGTAGCGATTACCACAGCACTTTGTTAAGCAGTTTTTTTGAAAAATTTGAAATCGTCTGACTGAACCCCGACTTGATTTTCTACAGCTAAGGGATGAAACACAGACTGCATCGAAAAATATCACCCCACCACATCTGAAAGATAAAAGCAGTTTGCACCATAAAATATCACCTTACACATGACTCTGTACAATCCTATTGGTCTATTATTTCTACCAATGTTTCACATTGTTGCGGAGATTTTTTTAGTTTACCGACTTGCAGTGCTTCCCCAGTGCCTTTTTAGCAGTTTTACAGTGGATGAGTTGCAGGGTTTCTTGGGGCAAGGTTTACTGCAGATCTTTGGCGCCACATTGCCGATTGATTAGCTGGCCCTTCCTGCCACTTTCCTTCATATGTGCAGTGCCAGGGGGCATTTCATAGCCCGGATCTTTAGCGGTATTCGGAACAAATTTTCCATCTTAAACCACTCAATTCATTCAATTTTCCCGAAAATTTGCTTCATACTCACACGTGATGCAGTGCATTTTTCGCGCATATAATTTAAAAATAATTCAGGAATTTTAATCGCCATTGGCTTGCATAATTCAGGATGCTGTACTGCAGGCAAAGCGACGTCGTTTGGGGAATCCATCGGATTTACGTTCGCCACTTGCCTCGACATCTGCAGTTCGCAAAAATGATTCAGCATTTTCCAGTCGCATTGTACCACCAACTAAGAAAAAGTAAGGCTTTATACGTGGTATTATTTTGCCCATAGTGTATTTATACTTTTGCTTGTTCCCTGAGAGGGGGAGGAGAGGAAAAGAGGGAAAAAGAGGAACGTGTAAAAGCAGTTTACTTTTTGTCTTGCTAGGGGAAGTAGAAAAAAAAAAAAGAAATGAATGGTGTGACGTTGAATTTATTTAAAAAAGCATTTAAATTAGTTCAAAATTGTAAATACACCGTAAAATAGATGGATTCAGATACATTTTTAAAGAAGTCTTATCTGTGCCGAAGTAGGAATGGGCAGTGTTTTGTGAATTTGTGCGTTTCCGAGATTCTAAATCTGCGCAGTTCTCCCTTCCTCTTGAAAGCTGAATATTGTCTCTGTGTTCCATAATTTCCACTTGATCATCTTTTCAGGCCTGCGCAGTCACAGGAGCACCAACAACCCTCCGCTCATTCAAAGAAACCAAAACCCGGGGAACTATTCGACAGAATTCTCGATTCCATGGTAAATCCTCCAAAAGACCGGAGGAAAGATACACGTAAGCATATATTTTTTTGACGTGAAGCTTTTCTTTTGAAATTCGCCCAAGTTTATTTATGAAAATTATCATAAAGAGCGTGATATTGAGGTGTGATATATTTTCAACATTTGCCGTGAAAAAAGAAAAATCTTTTGATAAACGTTCTATTTAGGAATTGTTACATCTGTGCTGCCATTCTGTGTTCTAAACATTGCTTTTAAGCGCAAGATGAAGTCGACGAAGCGGGTCCAAGCGGTATAACAACTAACGCTAATACGAACCAGTCAAAACCTCGCACCTTTACACTGACACGCGAGGATTTGGAACGCCGCCTGGATGATAATTCAGCATGTTACGTTTTTATGCAACGCGAGAACTTAATGGATCGCCTACTTGGACACAAAATGCTCACCGGTCGCGTTGATTCCTACACGGCTCTTGGGTTTTCGCTCGATACAAAAGACAATTCGCTACCGAAAAGTCATAATAACGTTAGTTTTCATGTATTTTGTACTATTTAGAAATAAATTATTGCGATATTTTTTTTTTTTTTTTGGCACCTTTGTGTTTTATCCCTTTGGATAATGCAGTTGTAGAAATTGAGAATTTGAGAGTTTGCAAACGTGCAAGGGTGAGTCATAATTATTGAATCGCTACTGTTGTAGTGGAAGAAGGTTTTGAAATTAAATTATCATTGTGTGGAAAGATTTTTGAATAATAGTCTAGGAAATATCACTTATCAGGCGGAGAACGGCTTGAAATCAGATTTTGAATTTTGGTCTCGGATGTATGAACAAAGTCCAATATTGGGACCGAATTTTAGGACCACGAACTGGCAATTTTCTGTTTATAGAAGTTTTGTTTTTCTGCGAAATAGCTCACATCATTCATTCCTCTGTCTTTCTTGATATCAAACCCAGGCGCATAAGCGACTTTGGTTTATCTATCGGTTAAACGGATAATCCTAGGCCTTGAAACATAGCATTCGTTTGCTTCATTTGTCACATAATTCTGGTCTTATCTTTTCATCAAATTAATCAATCATTGAAGAGAGGTAGCAGAGTTGCTGGTGCGATCATGTGTTTTTACGCAAACCGTGAAACAGTCATATCGGTGTCAGTATGAATGGTCATTGCTTTACACATCTGTACTCATATTGACAATGTTTCTGCGCATTTGCTGCGTGTGATGGTTAATGGGCCTCCGCTAATGGCTGGGGTGATAGTGCTGCATTGTGGGGCCGGGTATTGCCTCATTTTCCAGTACTGATAATTAACCGTGAATAGAAGTCGCCTACGATTTTGCACCCTGAGGTTTGCCATTCACGCACGCGAGGTTCAGGCCTTTGTGAAAGATGATATTACAGTCTTAATAGCGCGCAAAATATGCAGACATTTTCATAAAGTTTATGCTTTTTCACCTGTCTGATTATCGAACGAGGAATTTGAGGAAAGTGTTGCAATTTGAGCATTTGACGTATCCATGCGCCATGCGCAAGACATATAAGTAAGCGAAAACTAATTTTAAGACTGGTAGAGTCTGTGCTGAGTTGAAAATGGGTGACAGAACCAAACATACCCACACACATGTCGACAACTTTTGATCATCATGTCTTTTTGCACCCGCATAAGTACGCAAAAAAGTATAATACATACACCTGTAAAAATGATCTCTTTTTTTTAGGCTAACAGCAGTAAGGTAGACGATTTCGCGCCAGCAGTATGTGAGCAGCCTGCTGCAGTTCCTGGTGCGATGGAGGAGCGAAAGGGTCCGAAAACACCACCTGGATCACCGGGACACGACGCTAACTCATCGATGCTTTCCTCACGAGGCGTTGGTTCCGCATCACCGACCAGTCCGCCACCTCCACCTCCCAATGATGGTGCAACTTTTCATTCGGCAGAGGTAATCGTACATTTTCAGTTCAGTTCTTCTGTATTACAGCCAGAATTAATCAGAATTCCCTCTGAAAAGAAGCTGAAACATTTCGAAGTGACTCTTATCCCCTGAGAGGAAGGGATTTGATAATTTTTTCTTCGGAGCTTTCTTTTAAATTCAGCTTGAAAGGCGGCCCCGGTACCAGTAGCATCAGTTTTTCACCGCATCAAGTCGTGGACTTTTGGCAGTTTCACTTGTTGATTTGAATTGTTGATTCAAAATTGAAAGTAACACCATCTGCCAGTAGTTCAAGACTGTTACCTTCATTTTCCAAAAGAATTTTTTTTAATAATTTTTCAGGATAATAAACTGAAAGTGGATGAGTCGCCTGATTTATTAGCTGAAATGGCTGAACTTACAAAACTCCCACATACTAAGCTAGCCGAGTGCTTAGGCGAAGAACTACAAAAAGCGATGAAACAGGTTCGGAAATTTATGCTATTTCGAGTTGAATTTTTTGTGTTTTTTGTCTGCCGAATTTCATCCTCCTCCAGTTTTCTTTTTTCGCATGTTGCTGCTGCCTAATGGTTTAGGCGCAGCAGCTAATTTCGCTTTAATTTAATGCTTCGTTGGGTTCCAGGTTGACCACAAAGTTTTATTGGAAACACTGAAAGATGCATTGCAGAAAGTCGGCGAGAAAATCATTGCTCCCCAGCGAAAGTGAGTTTTGAAATTTTCCTATAATGTAGTTAATTTTTGATGCAATCTTTACTGTGCTCTCCGTGCTGAAAGACTGTGGTTCGAATTATTCAATGAGAAAACCAATCCCTCTACAATCGTTCACTGTTCTCTCTAGTACTAGCATGCATTAGGATTAAATTTGCCGTCAGCTTGTTCTTAAACAGGAATCCATCGACACCCTTGCCAGCGAACATTTCTTGTCGGCAGTTTTCTGCTACTCGACCAACTTACCAGTGCCTTCATTCACGAAATATAAGGTGGGTTTTTTGACTTTGTAATGGCGGGAAAAAAAGAGAATTGGCTCTGAGGAAATCTAATAATCAGCCTTCAGTTTGTTTTTCCATCGATGTGTCCATCGGTCTATCATTTCTTTTCACAGACATTTCCAGCTTCTTACGGCGTTCGACTTTGATGCCACTGGATCAAACTGGCCTCCGTCAAAACAACGGAAATTAACCCCACGTCCAAAATAATTTTCTTGAGCAGGGTGAACCTTCCCTTATTTTAATTTGTCTTTTCAAAGTATAAATCTTTTTTACCTTTTTTTTTAATGCCTTTTATCGCATCCTCGCTTGTTTTGACACCGTTTTAAGTAAATTTTATGCTTTTGCTCATTTGGCGAAGTTTCCCACTGAGTTTTATGTCGTTTTTTGCGCTTTTTTCTTGCTACGTGGATAATTTCGATGCGAAAGGCGGCCACTTCCCCTCGTTACTTCCGTTCTTTTTCACTTTCCTTTTTTCATTCTTCCTTATGTGTCTACTATTATATTTGCAATGTGTCGCAACAATGTTTGTCATTAATTTCAGTGAGCAAACGGTTGGTTCGGAAAATGCAAAGGAGGACATGCGCACACATCCGGTGGAAATGGATCTGGAAAGTAAAAAATCCGTGAGCACCAACGAGGCATTACTACCACCGCCACCGCCGGCACCGCGAACACCCCCACCAGTGAATTTGGCAGCAGCAGCTGCTGCTGCTGCTCCTTTGCCGGCTGGGCTTACAACAGCCATGCCGCCCGCTAGTATTCTGCCGACGCCACCACCTCCTCCACCTCTGGTGATGCTACACCATCCGGGCAACGCAGCCCATCTCCTGGTCGACCCCTCAACAACAGCAGCAGCAGCAGCAAATGCTGCGGTCTTTTCATATTTTCCACCTCCACCCTCTCAGCTTGCCTCCGAGCGGGCTAAGGTGCCAGCAGCACCCATCATGTTCCCCGGCATCCCATACACCGCAAAACTCGGAGGAGCTGCTCCAGCACCACCTTTGCCGCCGCCGCCATCAGCTCCACCCGTTATTGCGCCCAAACCGACACCTCAAACGCCAGGTATGTGCTTTCATTTCTTCGCACATTAATAATTTTGCGTTTGCCGGAGCATATCCACTGAAGAAATCACTGAATAACTCATTAGGTCGCTGATTTCATTGATTTGACCTCGAGGTTGCAGTTTATCCCGGCTGACCACTCATATTTGTATTTCCAGTATGCCTATTCCATGCATACGTAGCGTTAAACTTTTCTAATTTGTTTTCAAGCACCCTTTCATCTTCATTTCTCACTTCCTTCTTCGGCCTTTTACCGGACAATCTCAGACAGAGAGGAGGCGAATTAGGCTGGCAAGCGGAAACGATGGGAAAGGAAAAGGGAAGAGCTGTGGACTCTTGGGTCGGCTGCAACAAAATTGTCTTTGTAAAGGGAAAACGAATTACTGGAAATTGGATCGAATTGGTGAATAGTTCTGAAGAGCGGTATTAACGGTGCAAGTGACGATATGCTTAAAATGTAAAATAAGATTTTAAAAAATAATCGGAAGAACAGGAATGTTTCGATCTATCAAACTTAAGTGAAGAAGCACGAAATTTATTTAAAACACTGAAAAATTCAGCCCTCAGTTTACGAAATTTCACAAAAAATCAGTGTGACCAGTGAGGAACAATTCAGATATATAAGAGAACAAATGAATGCGGAATTCGAAACAAATGCCATTTTTCAAGCGGATAAAGCTTCAAAATAGGGAGAAGTCGTTAATCTACTGAACCGGGGTATGAGGCATAACGCTGAGGGCACATATTACCAAAATTAGGATCACCCCAACATGAAATTGGAAGGAAAATCACTCTTTATTGGGTGAAGCTTTTTTTGCTTATCATTGAATTGGGTTTTCTCATACTTTTTTAGACATTCCCATTTATTTCACTGTCAGTTCACTACACTTTTTCATTTTTTTTAGGCATGATGAAACCAGTGCTGAATATTCCACGTTACGGGTCTTCAGCTCCTCCCGCCCCGTATGCTGCTGCCGTCAGCACCAGTCAGCCGCCGGCAACGTTCCCAATGCAGCCAGGATCATCGTCCTCACAGCCACTGTCAATTCCTGCAGTTGCGGTACCCTGTTCTCAGTATGCTGCAACTTCAGCTGCACCAAGCAAACCATATAACTCAGCAGCTAGTACAGCCGAGGCTGGCGCATCTTGCTTGAATTCTCATAACATAAACAATTTGCAACCCCCCGTTGCACTTCACCCTTATGCAAATGCAACGAACTACAACATCATGGGCGCATCAGGCTCCTATCAGATGGCTAGCACCTCAAGCACGATTGCATCAGCAGGCTGTGGCACCTTTTCGACAGTATCTGACTCACCTGTTAAGCATCATTATCAACAACAGCAGCAGCAACAACAACAACAACAACAGCAGCAGCAACAGCGTGTGCCGATGGTAAACCTATACAGTGATCGAGCGCAGCAGCAACAGCAGCGAGATCCTAGTGTTTATTCGGGCGATAGCTACTGTCCTCAGCGTGCTGGCGTTTTCGAATCAATAACTGCCCAGAATTCAACCGATTTTCCTCATCAGCCACAACAACAGGCAGTCAATGTGAAGCAGTTGCCGAGTGATCCCGAATCAGCGAAACCGCCAGGGATGATGGCATTCTCTAGTACGCGGCAGCCAGACGAAAGTTATCAGTCGTCTGATTACTTCCGTCCTCCGCCACTTACTCGATTTCCAGTTTCCAAGGAATCCAGCCTGCATCTCGGTCTTGATCCATCATTACCGGCTTTAGTCAGTGGCGCTAATTTCAACGGTGAGGCAAATCCACAGAAGTTCATTCCTCCTCTTATGATTATGAAAAAAGAAACACCCCCTCCTAATTATGGCGTCGAACGGCCAGAACATGTAGCGGTTGCCAGTTCGTCAACAGCCGATTTTAAGCCGAGCGCGCCGGCAGTTTTCAAAAATGCGGATATTTCTTTGAATCCGTCGGTTTCCGTACCATCAAGTCAAAATGTCATCAAAACGTTGCTTTCTGCACTTTCCATACCCCAGAACAGCAAGGGTAGCGCTTACGGAGCAACAGAAGCATCTACCGCAGCAGCAGCAGCAGCAGCGCCGGAAACGAATGATTCGGAACGAGAGGTTGAGTTTTGCTGGCCACCATCGAATATGGATGAACAGTGGAACGACGAACCTGGTCCATCTTCAGTGGAGCAACCTGCCACGCAACAAACACAGAAACCAGTGGCGCCACGAATGATGTTCTTTGACCAGCCGGTATTTCTTTAATTTATTAATTTATGCCCGATTTCGCCCTTTAAAATGTGCATTTTAAATTGTATTTCGAATTTATTATAATTTAACAGTTTATCTAATTTGCATAAAAGCCAAATTTACTCGGTACATTATTAACCCAGGCTGAAACGCACCAGGCGAGCCGGTGCAGTCATGCGTTTTTGCACAAAACTTTAATTGGGTTAACTGCATGAACTATTGTTTCTTCACACCTGCCTTGTGTGCTTAATGCCGAAAATCATCGTAAATTTTGCATAAAAAGAA